ATTTGCTTGGGATATGGACCAAATGAGGCGGAGGTGATGTATTGACAAGTGGCCCACTTAGCATTTGTGCACTCCACGGTTGAAACCTCAGGTCGACTCCCGCCCAGGCCAACCAAGCCTTCTACCCTCCGGGGACGGTAAATTGGTACCAGATTCGTCTGGGAGGATAAAACACTGACTTGTACATCGGCTGGCCCCGCAAGTCATTGTATAGGCCACATCGCATTCAGTAAACCCACTACGATTCCGAGTGGAAGTAGGGTACATGGCGCATGCCAAAAAGGGGTTGCTCATCCTTTATCCTTATTTATGGATCAGATTAATCGGCTCTTTCATAGTAACTTTGGATAGCACAACAGTATAGAGTTACTAATCTGAATATCTGTTTTCAGGTCCATCCAAATGGTAATGCTGTGGTACGTGGCCTGTCGAAAACAGATCAGAAGCGGTACGAATATCTCCGGCATGAGAATGAAGTGCTTCAGAAGCAGATTGAAGAGGTCTGTTGTCTTATGAACATACGAAAGCAGGCAGAAGGGTTGGTCACACTCAGTATTACTACTATAGACAACGAGCAGCATATCACAGTATTGTGGTGTAGCCGCATCCTTATGTACACTCTGTATCGAGGAAGATGGATGGGTCGTAGTTGCGTACCCAGCGGCGCGCTTGACAATGACCTCGAAAAATTCATAGTTCCCGCCAAAGAAAAGAGTCGCTACCTCATTTGAAACCTTATGACACCAGCTTATGAAATTAAAGCTCTTCGGAGTCGAGTAATATTAGGAAGGAGAAATTCTGGAGACCGCGGTCACGGCAGGATACTGAGCCCGCCATTAGGACCCGTCTCACCGTGGGATACCGAGTGTGTTAGAGTGTCGAAAAGGTGAAATTTTGTGCACTATTTTGCAACGTTTTTCTGCAGTGATTCGATGGGAAAAAATCAACAACTAAATTTTCACATAAAGCCGAATACGATTCCCCTGTTGGCCATTCCTCGCCGGACATGAGGTGGCTGCAGCACATCGTTGCTGTCACAATCATGCCTTTTCCCCGGGATTCATAATGGATTGTTTGATCATTGTTCCCCAACTACTCCTGGGAACCGGGAACCCTGCCGTCTTGACTCCAGCTGTCCCTGATTATAGCATGTTTCGCTTAGGGCGAGAAAATGCGGAACGATTCTTATCACATTTGTTTCATGAGTTTCTTTTGAGATACGATCGATACTAGTTAAGGCATCGTAACAACAAAACAGTTGAACTTTCATACCAGTTCTTCAACACGTTAGTTTGCAAGGTTGATATATAGTTAGCGAAAGGAGCGCCCCTCATATCATCAAATCGCATTAGACCACACCCTTGACAAGAATTTTCGCCCTGAGTAAACTCACACGACTTTCGGCCAGACTGGCCAGGCATGATCAGCAGTGATCTTCGATGAGAATGTGTTCATAGACATCATGCTGAACTTTCATACTACTTCGAACTAATTCAATCTCATACCTCATTTTTACTCAGCGCGTGTATGACTGATATGAGCTGCACATAACCTGAAGCTATAGGTTCTATCAATCGCCTGACTCAGGGCACACCAATTATTTGAGGATTTGACACTCTCCTTTTTAGGGTTGTGTCTGTGAGTGCCATTTCGCCTTCCCCATCCAAATTAACACTTTCTTCGTTTCTTCGATTTTCTCAACTTCTTACCACTTTTCCCAGATTATCCCGAAAATTGTCCTGGTTTTTTCTTTCAAATTTGCTGTCGAGCGGGGTGAGGGGAATATTGAAGACAAACAGAAGAACTAGAGAACTCGACAACCTTCCCAACCATGGCTATCCCCCGCCACCCACACCTCCCACAGCGAGTGAATGTACGCCCGCTCATGGCGTCTGCTGAATAAAGATAGAAGCAATATCGAAGATAAAATTTTTTTTTTTCAGACCTAATACGACTCTTCCCCACTCTAACCGACCATAATTACGACCCCCACCTCATGGAATCCCCAACAACGATTTCCCTGACTCTGCATTTCAACGTGAGATTGCTCAATCGTCCTCAGACTTGCTTCTTTTACACACCAAATAATATACCCTCCCTAACGCTTCCTTCAGGACTGTTGAATGCAAGGCACTGGATAGTCTCGGTACCTCGCTATAAAATTCTGCGGTGCAGAGTATGGAGAATGCAAAAATAAAACTAAGTATACACTGCAAACACCTATGAAAGAAACATCGTTCTTATTGATGACTCAAGAAGCATTTGGACGAGTTTCTCGTAGGCACCTATTATCCCTATCGTATTTAGGCTATATCAGGGCCAATCTCCTTAAAGACACCATTGCTACGCTCAAACACATTAAGGGTATATGAGACTAACAGCCCCCACTGCCATTGCTTGTTTCTCCCGCCCAAACTGCCACGCGTCCTAGTATGGACCGTGGAAAAGCTTATTCCTGCTACTACCCCCAAAATTCACCGAGCGCAAGTTTGCATTCTGGGCGGTGTACAAGAATAACTCTTTCCACGTCCCGTACTAGACCCCGTGCAGTTTCAGCGGGAAACCACGACACATCGACAGCTGAGTGTTAGCTCAATACACCCTCAATGTGTGAGCGTACCATGTCTTGAGAAAATCTCAGAAAAATCTCGAATGACGAGCAGACTAACCCAGTCCACCACTGTGAGAGCGGAAGTAGCCGCTCAGTTAGTTGTTAGTAGAATTAGTGGGACTTACTGTGCCAATCTTGTATAATGACCATAGTCAGGAAATTGGCACGTCCCACCACTCACAGCAGTAGCTCGTACTGAAGTATGCCGAGGGTTTACGAAGAGAAGAAGCTGGACAATATTACTTGAAGCGCTGTCGAGAAACGACGTTTGGTGATCCCTGACACATGCAAGCCACGAAAGAGTCAAGCGTTCCGCTTTCCGATGGAATTCGGAACATGAGTTTTCACCGCCTGCACCGGAGTATCGAAGGCAGAATTTACACTGCCGATCACATGATTTGGCAAAACCCGCGATCATCCGCCATCTCAGATAGGATTAGGGGTTTGTATATAGACGACAAGGCTCTGAGTAACTTGATAGTGAAAGAAATCAGAAGACTTAGGTACCTGCCTTGGATAGAATCCCATTCCGATCCCAGTTTAAACGTGCCCAGTTAACTCCATCTCCAACACTATACCCTCATCCGCACAGCTGATTCCCGATAAGAACTCTACGACCGTACAAGTGACGATTTTCATGCTTTTTCGTCCTGCAGCTTCGTTTTCCACTGAAAGGCGGGCCTTGAAGGCGGAGTCTGGAGGCGGAGTCACTGGAAAAGGAGGCGTCACTGAACCTATATTGCGCTATAGCGCCCCTCCCTTACAATTTTTTGCCGCAAACCGGTACAAGGTTGTTCGTCGCGGACCACACTACCCTCCCGACGCCATATTTTCAACTTCTGCACCTGATCGCGGACCGTGCCTTGATTGTATTCAAAGGCACAGTCCACGCTTACCTTGCGCAAAAGGAGTCAGTACCATGAAGCTTTCTCACATACCCCCCCACCTTCTTCTGAGACAGTGAGAGAGTTGAAACCTTAATAAGGAAGACACAGCGATGCGCCTACTTCCGTTCTACATTCGGCTTGAACTCTTCTGTTACCAGAGAGTACACTGCTGTAATGGCTCATACTTCATCGTGACAGCTCAGAGCTCAGTAGGGCTTTGACTATATGGGTGAAGAGTTCGTTAACTTCGAAGTAGCGCGCATTGCGGGAGCGTGCTTCAACCTGTGACCTTATGTTGCCATTTATACTTCGTAAGCGTTTCTCCGAGCTTGGGAGATTGCACCAAAAAAAACAGGGTTGAATATCCTCGGAAGAGCCGTGACGAATCATTTTCGTGAAAGAGAGTTAAGAGAAAGTAATACAAGCACATAAAAGGGTGGACTAGTTGCAAGTGTTGCAGAGGCTAACGAACCCTCTATGGTTAAAACGGCTTCGCATTTCAAAAAAAAAAACTGAGTTATGAGCAAGAGCTTTCCAGTAAGGTGACGTGTGGAATGGGGCTTAGGTGGTGCAACGGTTAGCGTGTTCGTCCAGTGAGCGTGAGGTGCTGTACCGGTTAGCGTGTTCGTCCAGTGAGCGTGAGGCGTAAGTTCGAATCCAGCCTGGGGTCAAGTGTTTCGGCCATATCTCAACATTCTTGTGAGGTCATCCAGAGCAAGAACTGTGGCTTCAAATAGCGGTCACCTTGATAAAACGAGTAAAATAATTGTTCGTAAATTGCGGATAGTAGTCGGCTGCATGGCGCATCCTGAAAGGATCAATATTGCAGATTCTATGCCTACTTCACCTTTTCTTTCACATTTTCATCAATGTATCCACCTATTATATTTGTAAGGGCGCAGGTGACGAAGTAGAAAATGGCACAAATTTAGCCTCATTCGCTGCGGATGATGGGGCGTGTCAATGTGACTGGGTATGGGGCGAAGCCAGACCGTTCTCCACCAGTCGTTGAAGCAACAATCATTGGTAGAAAAAGACTGATACGGATGTGTACAGTCCTCATCATTGCGGACTGTCGGAGGGCGGCTGTGCAACGCGGTCCAAATGGGCGTTCGGCCTCGTTGCTCTACCAATGGCGATCGGGTAAAGATCGATTTAGGGAGGGAGCAACCAATGATGGAAACGCCGCAGGTGCGAGCCGCTGATTGCGACCCGACAATTGCGGTGATGTAAAGTGTAAGTCAGTTTTTTTGCTCGCCGAAAAAAAACGAGCTGGCGCTGCACCAAACCCATTCCCTGACGCGCCCCATCACCTGCAATGCATAAAATTGACTGTCCACTTTCAGTGTCCGCAGTCAAATATCTGGTAAGTTTCGCCCCCCCCCCCCCCCCCGAGCCAACCCGTATTCCATCCCTTTTCAGTCGACGATGTTAGTAGTCATCTAAAAGCATGAGAATGCTGATTTATTCTTGAATGGCCCCTTAGGTCATTTACAGGGTAAACAGCGTCAAACTAAGCCACGATTTTTAACGAAAGCAGAATGAGTGGCGCATCCCAAAAGACGTGTTATTTTACATATACCTTTATAACACCCTCATATTCACACGATTTCAGAAAGAACGGCGGATACGACAATGTAAGGAACGATTGGATCGTCTCCTGAACAAGGAGGATGATTTGTTATCGATTTCCGGAACAACCGCTAATAACACTCGAAGTGTGTCTGGTACGATTCGTTGGGAAATAATAAATGAGTGACATTATTATTATTTAATTTCTGATAATTTTAGAAAAGTTTTGTAATGAAATCGATTATTCACTGGAACTTGTCCCGTTTTCCTAATGTTCACAAATCGACAGATGACCTTGACCAGCTATTTCAGATGACGTCATTGTTTCATTTTGAATTCTTAAACGTTTTAAAAAATCAGCGAAGCCTGTACGGGACACCTTGTGAAGACTTGCAAATTCTTGAGATCAACGTGGTTAACTAGTACCATTTAGCAGTTTCACAAGAATCAGAGAACTAGCGGAAAGTTCAAAATGCCCTTTCCAAGCCGAATAGCGCCAGAAAACAGTAACCTTATGAGCGAAAATGGCAAAAGAGCCGGAATAGCAGTAATTACTTACTAAAAGTTATTAAGTGACTTGTTCGTATGTGCCCTTCAAAAATGAGCTCATAACCTGAAAATTCATCCGCTTACCTTCTACTAATTACCTTAGATGAATAGTGTATAGGTATGCGTATTTACACTAGAACTGCTTATTATGGCGCTCATTTTATTTGCTCAAATTCTCACATAATTTCTAGCAAAAATTTATGTTTACGGGGAATGTGCGAACGTCAGCACATGTGAAATCAGCTGAGTGATGACGTCATGGCCTGAAAAATTATTGGTAGGGCTAACGTAACGCTGCCGAAATGTGAATTCAAATTTTAACAAATCATTCCCTATATTCAATACCTGTAAAGAGCAAGATTTAGTATATTTTTAGCACAATTTTGGGTCATTAGGACATAAGGCGCGTACATACACTCGAAATCCCTGAGATGGGGTAGGCGTGGCTGCGTACTTCATCTAAACGTGGCGTTTGTAGTGCTTCTGGAGAGATATTTTCATGTCGACATAATTGTGGTCTTGTCTCTGTTCAACACTGAAAGAGTTGCCAGTTGTCTCAAACTGAAATATCCCACGAGTAACTCAGTCTATGTCATGACCATATGCCCCGCCTACTCCGTCTCAGGGAAAGGAGAATACTTCGCTGCAATCCTTGGGTTGTAATTGCTATTACTATTTGCAATAGTTCAATCATATCCATGCGGAGCTTATTCTGATTGCTGCAACAGTCCAATTATTACGATGAAGCGCAGTCGTGCAGTTCCGAAGTCGCGCCACAGAAATGCTCAAAAATTCGTACTTGTCAAATTTTTTGATTTTTTCCATCTTCAGAGGAGGTCAGCGCTGTTGGTTATTTCCATTTCTCAATTGATCATCGTTCATCATTGTCAGTAGTTTTCCATAATGGTATATTAACGCGGAATTTTAGT